GTGTGCGTGCGTGCGTGCGTGTGTGTTTACGTCCGCATGTTTCGGGTCAGTGTGCGCGTGAAAGAAAAAGATATCTGGATCTAGAGGGAGGTCTGACACACTTTGCTCTTTAAGAATGAGGGCGCGTTTGATTAGCAACAAATCAAGGGCAATATTGTGGTACATTTCAAACCGTAATACACACATCAGAAGCACAGACGTGCATATTTCATCGCATATAAGTTTCAAGTGAAGAAATCAGAATGTAAGATTTCAACATCCATCTCCAACATGACAGTGCCAAGTATGTGGAGAGCCCTTGAAAACTCGTCAAACAAACTAAGTTTAAAAACGCCCTATGGGGATTCAAACAAAGGTTATCCGCATTTTTAGCCCAGCATGGAACTGATGGCTTGCACTTGATGCAGTCATACAGGTTGAATAACGGTTAAGCGTGTAAAGGAACCAAAGTAACAGTTTACTTGACTCCCACCGGGTTCTCTGTTTTAAAAATAAGTAAACAGAGTCTTTGCCGAATGGCGGACGCCAACCCATTTGAAGACTACAAGGGAAAAACAACGGTAGTAACAAACTGGAAACTGCGAGGATGCCAATTTTAAAAGCTTGAGGACTCAAAACCTCATATCTGTTTGACTGGTGGTTTATTGTTAAGCGTTGTTGAATGGTAAATCTAACAGCACTAATCAACCAACAGTTGAACAGAAATAGTTATGAGTCAATAAGCGTTCAAAATTAGTACCCTCACGATCTTCAGGTTGTGACTACAGTCGCTTTTCCCCTGCAGTCTTCATTTTTAATCCCACAATGAGTGGAGACCTAGGATGTGCTGAGTAGGTCAAGTGAGTTCCCAATGGAGAGCTTAAGCAGGCAGGTACCGAAACAAGCAGGCAAAAACATAATTTTTTGAACGAACAAAAATTAAATACCCTCATCGATACAGTTGAGATCATTTAGGAGGTACGTTTTGACCCTGTCTGTCAAGACCAACCCGAGCTGAGAGAAAAACGAAAAACAAAGTCCAGAAAAAAATGCCGATACTCAACGAAAATTCACACAAAACGGGAATCGAACTCGGGTCTTCTGTGTGCGACGGTGAAGCGCTTATAACCGTTGTATCACTGGCGTCGGTTTTCTTGTAAGAGATTCCAAAAGCATAGAATAATGGAAGTAAATATAAAAGGAAGTTGAGCTCCTGGGGTCATCTTTAAGAAGAATAGGAGCTGAAGATTTACTGTATTCAGAGCTCAATTTACTCAGAGAGTAAGCCTGCTCATTTATCACTGATACAGCATCAGATCTGGCTCTCCAAAAAGATTAGAAAAAACCAAGAACTAAGCCCTCGCGGTCGCTGTCTAGTTGGTACTTTCAAAACGTTTTTATTTACTAGCCTGGGGATAGTTTTGGCGTAGGCCTCCCCAGGACAAGAAAGATCAGAAGACTGACCCCAACATTGTTAATGCCAATGCCCGTATCTACAAGAGGTGGGGCGCCTAATGTGCCAGGCAAGTATCTCGTTGGCCAACTGTTAAGATGTACAAAGTCCACAATTTTGACATTTTGAAAATACAGTTTCTTACTCTTAGACATAGTTTCCATGTGCTCGATAAATATTTTGTTGAAATTCAGATTTCAATTGATGGAAAAAAAATCAACAAAACATGCAATACTTAAATACGATTTTTAAACGAACGAAACGTCTTTTTCTCCGTCCCGACAAAAAATTGCTTTGCGGGCTTAGAACAATGGAACTGTCTGCCGGCGATCTGACTTTTTCGGTGGCATGATTTCAAGTCCTTACCACTCTCTTAGCTTTCATTTTGAATTATGATTCTATAATGTATTGCGAGGTTTCGGGATCTATTTTCATTGGGTTGTTTCATTTTCATGTACTTCTAGAACGGAATCTCACCCAAGAGATATATGCACACGAGAATGCAAGAAAAAAGACTACGTTAGTTTTGCACGAAAGATGTAAACAGTACAGTAAAGTTGTAGAGCATTAGCCCCTCCCCCCCCACACACACAGTCAGTGGGGACAGTGGGGATACTCATCTATAGGTCATTCCTTTGCTTTTTACAAACTTTTAACAAATCTATACTTTAGAATTACAAGGTTCTATCTGACAATTTTTGGCCGTTTTGATTTACTAAGTCCATGAGGCCAGAAACCAAATATTCTATCTGCTCTATCAATAATTATAGTAAGATAATTCGGAGTTGTTATCAAGCTATTTAAAGAATTGCATTACAAAAAAGCTTGCCATGTTGTGAAACTCAAAATTTCGATGCGAAATTTCTCAAAACTAACCGATAGGACTTTTAATTCTAGAGTACCGAAATATTAAAAAAATCCAACAACCCCAACTGAATTCATTAACAGTCTTGATCTTAGAGTGTAATCGGCGCAGAAGAAGACAGAGTAAAAAGTAGGTGTATGGGTATAACGCCATTATCATCGCAATTAAGTATTAAGTTATTCAAGAGGCGGAACCTCCAAATTAAATGTCCATCTCTGACAGCTCCGAGCCAAATGGTTTGAGAGCTTTGAAGGCCCCACAAAACAACTTAAGTTCCAAAACGCCCAGTCTGGGATTCGAACTAGGGCCTTCCACCTCTGTAGTCCAAATTGACGCCAACTGAGCAAACTATGCTCAGAAGAAGAAAATCAGAAGAAGAAGACGACAATTCTCTTCTACCTCCCCTTTAAACCCCCCCACGAAAGCACAATCAAATACCCATCCCCCCAAAAAAACACAAAAAACCCCCAAAACAACCGCCTCAAGAAACCAGCCCCCCCCCCTTAAAAAAGACAGCACAGGAACAAGTATCTTGCTGTCTGGAATAGCTTGACGTCATGACAAACTAAACCACTTGGCTTTTAAGGGACGTCATTTCAGGTTTCCATTGGTTGTACCAATTACCGCCAGTTGACAAAGTAACTTTCCATGACAGACTGTCAAACTGTTAC